GATGATGCCAGCTCTGCAGAATTCCAATGAATGTTTCAGTGATTTCCTGATGGTTTTGGAAAAGCTCCAGAAGGATGAGACAGAAAGATGAATTCAGTCAAATAAAAAAAATAAAAACCAGACAAGAGACACAAATACAATGTATGTTTGAACTTGATTTAACAAATCTATTAAAAAATTAAACATGAGCTGGGTGGTCTGTATATTTTAGGTGAACAAACACAGTGACTGCTCATTACGCAAACTGCAGGTAACCAGAATTTTTTTCTTTTGAGAGATTTTTTTTATGCTGGACCGTTTTAAATATTGAAGATTCATGACTTTCATGCTTCACTTATACTATAGCACAAATATAAAGGCAGCGTCGGCTTTTTCTTACTCCTTTAATAATAAAAACACTTCTCAGTAGGGATGCACCGATACCGATTCCAGTATCGGTAAAAGTTAACCGATACCAGGAACCAATACCAATGCAGTTGCTTGAAAGTGGCTTCACTGTAACTTGTCATTTCTGTTCATGTAATATTTTAGTTTTGTGATTATTTCTATTCATTTATTTTACGTTTTATCTACCTCACAGTCTTTTCCTGTTGAAAGAATAGACGATAATAAAACCTGTGTTCGAATTCATTGCATTTTTTTGTGTGGTAGAAATATCGGTAATCGGTATCGACGAGTACTCAGATCCAAGTACTGGTATCGTATCGGTTTGGAAAAAAGTGATATCGTTACATCCCAACTTTTCAGAGTGCCTCGGATCTCATAGTTTTCCTCCCCATCTGTATCTCATGATTTATTCTCTTTGCTTCACAGCCAGACAGATCACTGCGAAAAAAACGTATTCAGAATTAATTTTAAGAATATCCTTCTCACATTTAAAGCTCTTAATAATCAAGCTTCATCATACATCAGTGATCTGATTGTTCCATATGTTCCTAACTGAGCACTTCACTCTCAGACGGCAGGTTTACACTTGGTTCCAAGAACTTCTAAAAATAGAATGGGAGGCAGATCTTTTAGCTATCAGGCTTCTCTTATGTGGAACCATCTCCCAGCTTTAGTCCGTGAGGCAGACACCTTGTCTACTTTTAAGACTAGGCTTAAAGCCTTTTTGTTTGATAGGGCCTATGGTTAAAATCTGATGTTAGCCCAGATCTGGACAAATGGGGAGTAAAGAGAGGTGGAGAATAAGGTCGGTAAAGATGACTCTCCCTTGCCCTGCCTCCAACATGCCTCCATCTAAAAGGCTAGGTTATCCAGATGTATCTCTGTAGTTATGCTACTATAGGCTTAGACTGCTGGAGGACACACTGACCACTTTCCACACTCGACTACTTTCTTCTACAATCTGCTTTTTAACTGTATTATTTCCTGCTATTTCAGCTGTAAACTTTATTTTTTCTCTAAGTGTTTTTCTCCCCAGAAGAAGCTACAATGATGTTCTGCTGAGCTGTGGTAGCCTCATGGAGGGGGGGGGGGGGGGGGGGGCATCGGCTTGAGCACTGTTGCTAAGCACTTAGACCAGGGGTGTCCAATCCTGGTCCTGGAGGGCCGGTAACCAGCAGGTTTTGTGGTTTTCTGCTTCAACACGCTTGATTAGCTGGTTGAATCACCTGTGCAGCAGCTCATCAGGCTCTGCAGAAGCCTGTCAATCACCTGCTGATTGAAATCAGGTGTGTTGAAGCAGGTTAAAATGAAAAAGTGCTGGATACCAGCCCTCGAGGACCAGGATTGGACACCCCTGACTTCAGACATTCTCCCTTTCCTGATAATAACATTGCCCCCGATGATGCTGCTCCAGGGATTCACCAGCAGTTAGGTGATCTGAGCTTGTCTGTAAAACCTACCCTTAGAAACCTTGGAGTTTTCTTTGACAAGGGAATGTCTCTTGAACATCACGCAAAGCAGTTAACTAGAAACTGTTTTTACCACTTGAGACAAATTTCTAAACTCAGAACAATGGTGTCTAAAGCTGATCTTGAGTTGATTATTCACGCGTTTACATCATCCCGTTTAGACTACTGTAATAGTTTATTTTCTTGTCTAAACAAAAAAGAGCTGTCCCGCTTACAACAAGTCCAGAATTGTGCAGCTAGAATTCTGACCCGTGACAACAGAAGGGCCCACATTACCCCCATTTTAAAAGCTCTTCATTGGCTTCCTATCACATTTCGCATAAATTTTAAAATTCTTGTGCTGACTTTCAGAGCGCTGCATGGTCTGGCTCCATTGTATGTTCGAGACATGCTCTGCCCTTACATGCCTTCTCGCAGGCTGAGATCTATGGATCAAAACCTTTTAATGGTCCCACGTACTCAGTTCAGGACACGAGGAGATCGCTCATTCCAGGCCGTCGCTCCTAGGCTCTGGAATGAGCTACCTCTGTCTTTACGCTCAATCGACTCAGTTGATGTTTTTAAGAGCAATCTTAAAACCCATTTGTTTCTCCAGGCATTTTAAACTTAGTCTCATTCAGATTGGTTTTATTTGACACTGTATATTGTGGCTGTATTTTACTGTATTTATATGTTGTTGCCTTTTAACTTGTGAAGCACTTTGTGACCTTTTTGTCTGTGAGAGGTGCTATAGAAATAAAGTTACTTACTTACTTACTTACTTACTCATCTGTCTGCCTCCAGAAGAAAGAAGATCCATCTCGAATCAGTTGCTAAATTCAAGAATGATTATAAACTTCTCCTATGACTTACAATCTAGACAATCATTAAATAAACATTTGTTTATCACTACTTATAGTAATTATAGTACAATGAAATGCTTCATTAATCTGTGCTTACTGAATGGATGTTATGTTTGTCTAATAGAACCTGCAATGTGTTCACCATGTTTTGACGACAAGGTCCTCACACCTGCACATCCACCATAACAAGTACGGTTAAGTTAGACTACAACACATGACTTGTTTTCTTTACCAGTCAGGACTTCCATATTAAAGAAGGCGTGTTTCTGAGTTGTAACATCTTCTTTCCCATCAGCCTCTGATTGGCTGTGAAAATCATAACATCAATTCTTTTAAACTAAATCACTTTGAGTGATTTGCCAGTTCTAGAGAAAGCTTCAGACCGGCCATCTTTAGCATATCTCTTTAACAATCAAAGATTTTGGCACGTCGTTAAAACCTTTTTTGCACCTGCAAAGCTGATGAGCAAACAGTTCCTGCAGAACAAAGCGGATATTATTCAGCTCCTTAAGAGTTATTCCTGAGACGAAAGCTGATTCCAACCTGTGCTGCCTAGTGACATCTTTTGGACTGGAGAAGTCGGTGCTTGCAGTCAATCTACCGAACCTGGGTGCCCCAAGGTCATCCAACCTCTCTGACCTCCGGATCCGTGACGAGGGTCATCAAAAGAGTGAGGAAGAACACAGAAAGATTGTCTCTGAATGTGCTTCTGAAGATAACATCATAGTTTAGAGCAAACCAAATTCTTTTTCATCCGAAGATGTCGCTTTCCGGGATTCGGAAGTTCTGACCAACACCGCATTTACACATAGGTTCCTACATCACCTTTAGCTCCATCCATTCACAGTAAATGCTTAGTTCACTTGTCGTGTTTTAATTGTTTCTAAAATAAATTCTTACAATTATAAACCTGACACTTTTCTGAATCAAAACAAAGTGTGTGTAATTACTTAATAAAGCAAAAATCCTAGAATCTTCTGATTAAGCCCTAGAATCTTCTGATATTTACAATAAAGATCAAGATAGGTAATATATTTATAGAGAATATCAAATAATACACATTTGCCTCCGCTACACATGCATATACATAAGCTGGCTGTTGCAGAGCTCCGCCAATGACATGGCAACCGTAGACCAAGGTAGATCAAGGAAGCGCTATTTCACAGAAGCAGAAATTGTGGTACCTGTGGGTGAGGTGGAGAAATGAAAGGAAGTACTTTTGCACAACAAATAAGACAAAATACACGGGGTTGCACAGTGTTGCTGAAGCCGTCAATGCTGTGAATTCTTCAGAGAGATCTGTGGCGGATATAAAAAAAATGGTCCAATCAGGATTCAATCCCCAGACTCCCAGGTGAAAGTCACATGCGCTAACCAGTCAGCCAAACAGAGATCTCACCTGTACAAGTAGCCAGGGCACATGATCAATCGGGTCACAGTGACAGGACACACACACTGTCACAGACGCATGACATTCTCTCAATCTGTCCCCCTGCTGATATTCTGCATTCCGTATTCTGCGCTTCAGGCTGTGCGTGTATCTGTGAGTATGTGTGCATGTGTGTGAGTATGAGCGCATGTGTGTGTGAGAATGCGCGCATGTGTGTACGCACGTGCCTGTAAGGGGGGGGGGGGGGGGGCTTGTTCTGAGTGAAAACGAAGCGGTACAAGTGATAATGCTGCAGGATTTCATAATTGTTTCCTTCTCAGCAGCAGCACTGCAGGTGCTCTCCATGTCCAACATGTGCATCAGCCAGGTCCTTAGTCAACTTAAAGTTCTGCAAAGTTTTCTTTCATAAATGCCAAAGTTTGCATGGAAAGTTGCTTACGCAGTTTTCTGACCCCGTTTTGTGCGTAAGCAAGCTTGATAAATGAGGCCCTAGACCTGTATTGGAATGTTTACTATGTGAAGTGCCTTGAGACGACGCTTGTCATGATTTGGCGCTTTATAAATAAACTTGAATTGAACTGAATTGAATGTTTTTTATGTGTTTTGATCACTTCAAGTGATCTTATGTTATTTTTTTCCCGGTGTTTTCACTGAATTGAATGTTTTTTATGTGTTTTGATCACTTCAAGTGATCTTATGTTATTTTTTTCCCGGTGTTTTCAGAGAAGTGTTTTTGTGATGTTTGTTTCTATTAAGCAGAAGGAATGTTGTTACGACCGACTGTTGGTGTTAAAATGAAAGACAAGGGTGTAACACGGAGGGACCAGTGGCGCCAGTGCGCCCCAGGGCAGCTGTGGCTACATCGTAGCTCATCCCCACCAGTGTGTGAATGCGTGTGTGTGAATGGGTGAATGACTGATTGTGTTGTAAAATGCCTTGGGGGGTTCCAGGACTCTAGAAGGCGCTATATCAAATACAGGCCATTTACCATAACACAAAAAGGCACGTGTAGGATGGTAAAATTCAAACAATGTTTTAATATAAAAGGATTTAAAATTCACAGTGCACCTTTCTTCCTAAAATAAACCGTGTACTGTCTCAGGTTTTACATTTAAAACAAGCAAATGGCTAACCTCAAACTAAAACTCCAGGTCCACTGACAACATTCAAATGTTTGAGGCAGGAGGGAGCCAGCGCACATCTGGTCCCTTTTCTGTTTTAAAATTCTAAAAGCACAAAGCTAATACTATCACGCTCACACAGACAAGTGTTAGTGAGTGGCTGCGTTTGACTGATGATGCTCGGTGTGTGTTTTGATTTCTGCAGTGAGCCAAACTCACCTCACTCCGCCTGGAGTTTGTTTTTGAAAAATTCTATTAAATCCACGTGCTGCCACATTTTAACGAGCTTCCTCCACGCCGTACGTTTTGCTGCAGGAATAAACATCGTGGAGTAAAAGTTTGGCAGACGCTACATTTTTGCTAACGTGCGCCCGCTCATTGTCAGGGAAGGAAGGATGCAACAGGCTCAGACTCTCTATGGGCTGCAAAGTAGGACCGACTGACAGCTATGGTGTTCTCAGCTCTGAAAAGCATTGATAAGAATTTGCAAATCACGTTTTTTTTTTCCCACGGAGATCAGCCGCAGATTTCTCTTTCGGTCGGCAAACTAAGAATTGAAACTAGGAATCGAAATGAAAAAAACTTTGAATGATTGTGAGAAAAACAGACAGTCCCGATTCCAGTTGCTGCTCGATGCCCAACCCAGTAAATGAAAGCCTAGAAGACGATCCATGAACTACATCCAAATGCTTCTTGATTTTTTGTCCTTTTATTGTTGCTTAGAAGAACCAGTCACAACTTTGGTGTTCTGCTGTGAAATGTATGTATGTAAAGCAGAGGACTAGAAATTATACCAGACCTTCTCCTAATTTAGATAAGCACAGACATTTATCAAAAATATCCTAAATACCGTAAATCATCTAATACAGGCCCGGGCCTGTATTTGACTCAAGCACATCAAGCTCCAGGCCTTTATTGGAAGGAGGACCAGAATTAGAGGCAGGCCTCTATTTCTATTTGAGCAAAATGAACTAATGGTTCGCTGGAGTTTTTGACAATTAAAATTGCGCCCACATTTTCAAAGTTAAACACATTTCTCTTAACAACGGTAGTTTCTGCTTCAGCCCTCCCCCCTCCCCCTGCGCAGCGGCCGCAAACTCACTGATGCGCCTGCAGCCTCTCGAAGTTCCTGCTGCTCTAAACATTAAAATAATTATTTCATTTTCTGTTTCTCACTTCTGATTACCTTCAGTGGTGTCTGTTTGTTGCAACCAGCAGGTACAAAAACTAACTTGTTTTTATTTGACTATTTTTCTGTCCTGCCTGTTTATTATCTTCCTGCATCTCCTCTCAGTCCTAAAGAAAAACTGCTACCTGGGTTCATATATATTCACCTTATGAGTTACCTTGGAACTGCAGTTCTAAAAGATCTACCGACCGCAAAAACAGCGGAGTGCGAGCTGCTGCAGCATAATCAGCACGTTCTCTTTGAACTTGATATCGAATTTTCACCTCCTCTTCGTCTCTGCACGGTTAAAGTTACCCTCGCGGTCCATCACTGGCAAATCAAAAGTGAGACGGATGACACAACCGCCCCCATACTTGCTTGTTACCACATTCCACCCAGCCACAATAAAAAACCGGCCATTATTCACCTCCGCCGACTCCGACACCGGCCAAAATATGATACCCGGCCGTTAATTGAATACAGGCCAATATTAGAGGATTTACGGTATACTTCATCACAGTGTTAAAGTTCCGTTTAAAACGATAAATCATCCATCCATTATTGCAAGTGATGTGGGAAGTTTTGAAGGTCACCTGAAGATCAGAGATATTATTTCAGCAAATACATGGCTTCATATAGGGTTTCTTCCTCTTCCAGTTGTAGTCTTAAATATCAAAATTATATAACTATAAATGATAACAGCTGCTGATATTCTTGTCATCAGTCTGGCAGCCGAATACTTTAAATTTGTTTCCATCAGACTGATAGAACATCCAGTTTAAGAAAAACTATCCTTATCAGACTCAGCGGATGGCGGCCGAGACATCTCGAAAAAGGACTCAGAGGACTTTCTGGATTTTAGGATTTGAAGCAGTTCGGCCAGTTGTGTTTCCAGTGCTGCCATGCGACTGTTCAGATATCTCATGTCCCTTCTTAATTCTTGTTTCAGCTGAAGGAATGACATCTGGATGCTCTGCTCTGGTATCGGACAAAATACTTTCTTTTCATCCGAATGGACAGGACTCCTCTCTTGTGGGGTTCTGGCTTCACCAGCATTGTCTAAGCGTAGGTCACTTTTTGTTATGCCGCTGTCACAAGAATTTGTTTTCTTAAGCAACATTTCCCCATGAGATTTAGTTCTGTCAGGCAGCGATTCCACTGACTCGGCCTTGGAAACGCTGCTCCATGAGTCTGCTTTTACAACAGACTCCTTGAACAAGCCCCAGCCTTTAGCCTTGGGAGGTTCTGCAGACTTGCAGCTTGGCAGGTTGGTGTTCTGTGTGATGGAACTGTTGAGCATGATTCGGCTGGACCCCCTGGATGAAGCAAAAGCTGCGGCTGTGGGTGTGACTGAGCTCTCAGTTACCATGACAAAATTTGTGGAGGAAAGCATTTGAGGACCTCTAGGTTCCACGTGTGAAACACCTTTCTCCACTTCACCTAGTTCTTGATTGATCCGCTCAGCAGCTATCCTTGCCTCCCTCTGCTGGCGGAACCTCTGGAAGAGTCGTCTGACCGGATGGTTCGGGGGGAGGTTCAAAGGTGCTTCATCCTTCCTCTTTAGTTTTTCCTCCTCCTCTTGTTTGACGTCGCTGATCTTTCGGAAGATAATCTGTTAAGGAAAAAAAAATTCAATGTTTAAAGGAAAGAAAAGAAAATATCAGTGTCTTGTGACCCACTATGTGAATAATTTGAGAACATATTTTGCTGCCGTCAGGAGCAGTTATTTTCTTAGTTATCCTAGGAGAGTTATACTTTTTTTTTATTATCTTTATTTCATTCAAAAAAAATAACACAACAGATACTAAACAATATTCATGAAAACACAATATATATTTGAATGAAAGGGAGCAGATAGAAGAAAAAATCTTATTATTTATGCCCCCTTTTTAAACTTAAATATCAATTTATATTTGTGCAGTCCCTCACCAGTTCTTTCAGTCCCGTAACTGTTCACATTTGTTAATTATTATGTCCACATCAATTGTCCGTTGTCATATCCACTCAACACACGTGATTTAATGTGTAGACTGAACACTTTTAGAGTTCTTGACTCTTTCCATTATCTGTCTTGAATGCATTTGTAGTGGAATTTACACTGGAAATACACAAAAATCCATCCATCTTTAGCATTTGGCGGTAGTGGTGGTGGTGGGGGGGCTGGACTATATTTAACTGGCAGGAATTTAGGATTGTAATGAAGCTAAATTAGTGGGTGAAAACCATTTAAGACCCTGCTAAACAATCTATTGGTGTTTCTCAATATCAAGGCGCATGGCCTTGCGAGGCGACGTCTTGCGAGGCCAGGCGCTTTGCTTACGAGGACACGGTCCTTGGTCGAAGAAAATGGTTAAATGGAACAAACTTGCATCACGTCACCGTGGCTTCCGCGACAGTCACGTAATGTCACGTGACACGGGAGATGAGGTTACATTTTATATGTATTAGTTTCACTATACATATATAATGAGCCTTTTACTTTTTAAATTGTGTATATATTTGTTCAATTAAATATATAAGTGAGTTACTAGCCACCGAAACAGCAACTAATAAGCAACTAACGAACCATAGCTAACTTCTTTGGATCTAAAAAAAAAACTTTTTAAATTTTATATTTAAAAATGAAATTTGCCCCCGAAGTAGCTGCCGGCTTCTGATCTGCCATCCGTCTGAAAATACTGCGGTGTATTCTGGGTAACTTTTTGACCCAGGCTAGGCTACAAATCAATCAAATCAAAGATACTTCATTAATCCCAGAGGGAAATTAGAGTTTCAGTACACACAATTCAGAGATCAGACATACATGGGCAAGACACATGACAAGAATTGGTGACTGTGGTCATTCGCAACCCTGAGTCGCGCTACCTTAATAGAGATAAGAGGGTTACATGAGGATTGGTTCAGGTGGAGGGGGAAAAAAAGGCACTTCAGAGTTACCCTCCATAGGGAGGGCAGCTTTGCTCTGCAAAAAAACACCTCAGACAGATATGCAACAGACTTCAGACATTACACAACATAAGTGTCCACTAGGTGGGGTAGTGGGTTGGGACTATCCCTACTTTAGTTCCTGCAGCCACGATAGAAGCAGCGCATGTCACCTCAGTGTGGATGGGGAGGAGCATTGAGGGTTGGAGGGTTGCAGTGACCCTGGAACGTTTCAGCAGCCTTCCCGCAGTCCCGCCCAGGCTGGGATAGGAGACAGAGTTGAGTTGCCATAGCGACGGCACATTCCACATATCTTCCGAGGGGGGAGTTTTCGTTGTAGCCTTGTAGGCTCAAGGGCGCCAGATTCCAGTTAGAAATTGTTTTGGGGCCAGACAGAGATAATTTCCTCTCAAGACATCTCCCATGTATCCTTGCTCAGCTAGCTAAACGGCTAACAAACGGAGAACACACGCCTTGGTAGAAGATGAACATTTGGAACACGTATTGGCGGCTCCTGATGACGTATTTCTTAGGCAACCGGGGCAGGGACAAGACATGAAGGCGAGGTTCCTTGACATTGAGAAACAGCCCCTATGAATGTTCACCCTTTTAGAAATGTTTTAATAAGACAGCCTTCCATAGATGGCATAGGTTGCATTGATTGTTGCTTCTACAGAGTGTATTTGATTTTTTTAGGTGGGTTTTTGATTTTTTCTTTTTTTGCTCTGAGTTTTTTGCTGTTCTTCTGGAATGTGTTTGACTCTGCTTCGGAGATGTGATCTCAATCAGTTAAATCATCTTTTATTTGAGGTAGTTTAGTCCTCTTCATGGACAATAAGTTCTGTGGATTTGGAAATATTTGCTCTTGACTGCCTATGGGAAACAGAATATTTCAGGGGAACATAATTTCCCACAACACCCGTTTCACGTGGATCACTCACGGCGCCTCGATGTAAACAAACTGGCTGCCGCTACCGGCTTATATAGATATGGCGCGATCACTGGCTGCTCGTTAACTACAGCTGGTGAAAGAGGGCTGGTGAGCCGGGGACACGCTGGAGATAAAGTAAACAATGCTGACTTATCCACCAGCCAATCGTGGCTCGAGGCTGGTGTGGTGGAGATGGATGTCACGAGCTACTGAGCTACTAGTTAGCCATGGCTAGAGCCGGGGAGATGCTGTGTATGCTGTGCTTAAACTCCCACAGATTACCAGCAAAAGGAGACCCAAGCTAAAGGTAACATTTGAAAAGAAACCCTCTGTGTCGGAGCATCTCAGTAACGCGTGGAGAACTACATCGCCGTTAGTAGAGTGTTGTGGAGATAAAAATAAATAACGCTGATTAGCCGCTGACTAGCGCATGAGCGCTAGAGCGTGTTGGGTGAGACGGCAGGCTGCAGGAAGAGAGGAGACTTGAGAAGAAGGACTTTGGAACGGACACGTTGGGACCGGATCAGGAGTTCTGGTACTAGGAAATGAAGCATGAACAACTTGAGGTGAGTTTGGGAGTCAGAGACACTAATCGGAGGCTGGCGTCCAGCTAATAGCGGGCTGGGATCTGAACATATGCGCCTTTCTTGTGTTGGACATGATAATAAAATATTATGTGTCTTTTGATTTCAATATTTATTAGTCAAATGAACAAGTACAGCAATGGTGTAGCTATTCTTTTCTATTTCTTAGTTGAATTAGCAGACTCCATGCTTCTGGGGCGCACTGCTGCCCTTTGCTGGTTCTTTCAGGTTACAGTCATAGTCCAAACGGGTAACGTGGAGCTCGTATGTCCCTGAACAGCTACTGTATTTTAAGATGGTGGATGACCATGGAGCCTCGACCACAGTTTATGTATATAAAAATGTATAATTTCAAGTTGAGAGGAATATTTAGAATTGATGTTGGTGAGAAATATTAGTGAAAAAGGACACGTTTGTGAGCAAGAGACACAGGATTTGATAGTAAGCAGGTAAAAATATCACACACTGGGCCTTTAACAAAGCAAAAGAAGAGGAGACATGGACTAAAGTCTACAGAGCAGACTCACCCTCTTCCTCAGGTTGTAGGTGAGAACCAAGTTTCTGGCAAAGTGGTTTGCAAAGTTAGCGTAAAATTCCAGAACTTTCAGAAGCTCGTCCCGTTTGATGACATGGAGGTCGCAGTAGGTCAGTGCTCTGACATTAGCACAAGACTGAGCCAGCGTCATCTCCTTCCAGAACACATCCCCAAACACGTCACCTTTCCCTGCAGAAACACAAATAACTAAGCTTAGACAATATTAATAACATTTCAGTTCAATTCAATTCAGTTTATTTATATAGCACCAAATCTTGGCCCTGGAGTTTTAGTTTGAGGTTAGCTATTTACTTGTTTTAAATGTTGAACCTGAGACAGTACACGGTTTATTTTAATAAGAAAGAAGCACTGTGAATTTTAAATCCTTTGTGTGTGTGTGTGTGTGTGTGTGTGTGTGTGTGTGTGTGTGTGTGTGTGTGTGTGTGTGTGTGTGTGTGTGTGTGTGTGTGTGTGTGTGTGTGTGTGTGTGTGTGTGTGTGTGTGTGTGTGTGTGTGTGTGTGTGTGTGTGTGTGTGTGTGTGTGTGTGTCCTGTCTGGCTGTGAAGCAAACAGAATTGATGTCTGAATGCTGGTGACAAGCCTTACAGATTTACTCTCAGTTGGAGCATCAAAGCATCTGCTTTTAATGTCACGCCTGATACTTAAAACTTTATTGTTATTGTTTTTGAATGCTTTTTAATTCTGACCAGACACGGAGTCAGAGGTGAAAGAGAAAGGAAGAGGCAAAAGATGGGGGGGGGGGGGGGGGGGGGGGGATTCTACAAAAATAAACAATAATGAACAAGAATCTGCTTCTAGACTTGCAGAAAGAGAGAAGAAAAAAAGCAACAAAAAAAATACATGGGACACAACAGCAATGCAACAAGATAAAGCTATCCCTGCATCAACTTGATGAAGAAATATATAATCAACCTTGTTTAACTGAACAATCACACGATAATAAATCACAGTGCATTAAGTGCCCACCATAGCCTTAAGACCTGTGTTGAACGTGCCCAAGTCCATACTTATGAGAGCACCATGTGAGCACCTGTGTGTGTACACGTGCTTGTTTATTTAAGGTTTCTCTATAGGAGCGTCCAATAGAGAGTGTGAGGGGCCACAGATCTGCCCCCTAGAGGTGTGCAGGAGACGGAGGGAGCTCCAAGTCCCAGAGATCCTGGAGTTGCCCCAGAGCACAGGAACTCCAGGGAGACTGCGACCAGACAAGCCCGAGCCCCCCTCGAGAGGCACAGAGGATCGCCCTGGGGGGCCAAAACCAGCAACCGGCAGAGTCCCGGGAGATATCGGTGGCAAGCCCACAGGCTCGCCCGCAGCCTCCCACCCCCTAGCCGGCCGAGCCCGGGACCCAATGACCCGGGACCCAGGGGCGACCACTCCCGCCGGGGACCCAGAAGAGCCCAGGGACCCAGACCCCACCAGGCAGCCACCGGGATTGGTCAGGCAGATGCCAAAAATCTTAAACTCCCTGACCCAGGAGCCACGACCCAGGCAGACCAAGGCACCGCACTCCACACCAGGTGTGGCAGGGAGAGGGGAGACGAAGATCTATATGACCAAAAGAAGTCCCAAGAGAAGGGAGGAGTCAATGGCCCCACCTGACATACACAGTCATACACAAACACAGTCACACACTCCCTCCCTCATGCTCACACATACACATACAACCAAAGACTACAAAAATGCACTCCGGACACCCACTCATGCTCCCCATACACACCCTATTCACTCTGGTCCCGGTACTGCTGCACATGGGGTACAACCATTACCGGTTCCAAGAGTTCGACCCTTTCTGCTGAGGTGCTGATGGACAGCCTCCCCCGCCCAACGCTGAGCACAGCAACCCACCACCCCAGACCCCAACCAGACGGCCAGATCTCCCTCCTAGCCTCCAGCCCCAGGAAGCCAAGCGACAACAGAGGTGTGCTAAGACCCCTAGTCTCCCTCCACCTGCTCCAATATGGTGTTAGTGAGTGTTGATGAGGTGTGTTCCATGGCTGTGGTGAGCGGGCAGTGCGGGTATCGTCTGGCCTATGCCAGCTGATGCCACCACACCACCCCACTTGCACCCACAGCCCTCAGTGTCTAAGTGCAGTTTAAAATTGGAAGTGGGCACCGGCACTTGGGATGAGGCTGAGAAATCCCCCTGCCAAATGCCGTTGAATGTGCTCACTCCCAAGGCCCTAAGTGTGTGTTTGCGTGGAATGTCATTGGTGGAAGTGTTTAAGGTGCAGATAAAATTGGGGGGCAGGTTGCCACAGGAATGCGGAAATGGGGTCCATACCCGCACTCCCTGACTTGCCCACCCCCCAAGGTCCTATGTGCATGTTTGTGTGATGATGTGAGGGAGCAGGAGGAGAGAAATGTGTGGGGATGGGGAGGAATAAATGGTTGGGCTTAGCCCTCCAGGGAGCCACCTCCCCCACTGGCCCCAATAGGCACCTCTGTTGTCAAAATGCCACCCAGAGCATGGAGACCCCAGCCCATCCTGCCAGGGCCCAAAGCAGCAGCATCACAGAGCCTCACGGAGTCCGAGGGCAACAACCCAGCCCCACCCCAGCAGAATGTCTACGTCCATCCCTGCATTTGCACAACTTCCGGACTATAAAAGACGTAGGACATCCACGTAAGGTTGGGTCCTCCCCCTCCTGGACTTACCCCTCCCCTGTGATGGGACAGCAGAGGAGCCAAGGTCTAGGCACTGAGTCAGAGAGTCAGGCACTGCTGCATGTTCCTGCCTTCTTCCCGGCAGCATACATGTCAGGACCCGACCCCCAAGGACCCCCAAGGCCCCGCCCAGATCCCCCCCCCATGGGGCCGGCCACACCGACACCCAGTGCCCCCAGGCCCCCATCCAGACCAGCCCAGGGGCAATGCAGCCGCCGGGCAGTAACCCATGGCCACCGCCAAGACCTCCAAGAGGCTCCACTCACAACCGCCAGTAGTCCACCCCCGAGGCAACCCAAGCACCTCCAGAGGGGGGCAACGGCCCTCCAGTACCAGACACCCCCCAGTGAACACACCTCCAAGGAACGTCCAGATACTCCAAACTCAGACCCCCCCCCCCCCCCAAATAAACAAATAAGAATTTTACATCATTTTATATTGTTTGAATTTTACCATCCTGCACATGCCATTTCGTGTTACACCCTCGTCTTTCATTTTAACACCAACAGTCGGTCGTAACGAGATTCATTCTGCTTTATATTCTATTTAGTAAGAGATAAACTTTATTATCTTTATATGACTGGTAGCTAAAAGATCTGCCTCCCATCTTATTTTTAGATATTCTGGGAACCACCAATACACCTGCAGTCTGAGAGTGAAGTGCTCAGTTAGGAACATATGGAACAATCAGATCACTGATATAAGATGGAGCTTGATTATTAAGAGCTTTATATGTGCCGTCTGGTTGGGGTCTGGGGTGGTGGGTTGCTGTGCTCAGTGTTAGGCGGGGGTGCCTGCTCATCATCACCCCAGCAGAAAGGGGCTAACTCTGGGAACCGGTGATGAATGTACCCATAGTGCAGTAGTACCGGGACCAGAGTGAATAGCGTCTAGCGTTTATTTTTGTAAGTTTTAGGTTGTATGTGTATGTGTCAGCATGAGGGAGGGTGTGTGTGACTGTGTATGTGTATGGCTGTATATGTCAGGTGGGGTCTTGCACTCCTCCCCTCTCCTGGGACTCTTGTGCTGCTATACATCTTTGCCTACCCTCCCCCTGTCACATTTGGTGTGAAGAATGGTGCCTTGGTCTGCCTGAGTGTTCGCGGCTCCCGGGTCAGGGGGTTTAAGATTTTTGGCGTCTGCCTGATTGATCAAGGTGGCTGCCTGGTGGGATCTGAGTCCCTGGGCTCTGTTGGGTCCCCGGCGGGGCTGATCGCCCCTGGGTCGCTGGGTTCGGGGCTCGGCCGGCTTGGGGGTGGGAGGCTGCAGGCAGGCCTGTGGGCTTGCCGCTGATATCTCCCGGGACTCTGCTGGCTGCTGGTTGTGACGCCCCGGGGCAATCCTCTGCACCTCTCAAGAGGGGGCTCGGGGTTTTCTGCTTGCAGTCTCCCTGGGGTCCCTGCGCTCTGGGGCAGCTCCTGGATCTCTGGGAATTGGAGCTCCCTCCATCTCCTACACATCTTTGGCGGGCAGATCTGTGGCCCCTCACACTCTCTATTGGATGATCCTATAGAGAAACCTTACATATACAAGTGCGTGTACACTCACAAGTGCTCACATGGTGCTCTCATAAGTATGGACTTGGGCATTTTCAACACATAAGGCTGTGGTTGGCACTAAATCCACTGGGATTTACTATTGTGTGATTGTTCAGTAAAACAATGTTGACTTTATATTTCCTCATCGAGTTGACGTAGTGATAGCTTGATCTTGTTGTATTGTTGTGCGTCCCTTTTATTTGAATTTTTTTTGTTTTTCTCTTTATGCAGGTCTAGAAGCAGACTCTTGTTCATTACTGATTGTTTATTTTTGTGGAAACATGGTACATTTTACAGGTACATTTTAGTAATTTCAGTTTCCAAAAAAAAAATGCATAAGCACTGTACACCCAGAGACAGACAAAGAGCCTTGGGATAAGATAGGGAGGAGAGGTGGAAAAAAGCATCTGTACTCTCCAAGAGCCGGAAGAAGAAAATAAATAAATAAATAAAAAATACGAGCCATATGCTCTGTAGAGTTATCCTCAAGCTGCTGCCGCCTCTTTGCAGGTCGAGGTGTACTGGTGCAGTTGAGCTTATCTGCTGCTGGGAGCTCTGTGAATTGAGAACTTGTGGTCAATCCTCAAGAGGCGGGCGGACAAACAAAACCCACAAATTCTGACAAACTCCAAGAAGTGATTATGAAAGAATGGGTTGCTATCAGTCAGGATTTGGCCCAGATTGAGAGCATGCCCAGTCGAATTGCTGAGGTCCTGAAAAAGAAGGGTCAACACTGCAAATACTGACTTTTTGCATAAATGTCATGTAATTGTTGATAAAAGCCTTTGAAACATGTGAAGTGCTTGTAATCATATTTCAGTACATCACAGAAACAACTGAAACAAAGATCTAAAAGCCGTTTGCAGCAGATTTTGTGAAAACTAATGTTTGTGTCATTCTCAAAACGTTTGGCCACGACTGCAGAACCGAGCTTTTTATTTATTTATTTCCTGTAATTGTTTA